GGATTTATCCATATACGGAATACGAGTATAAAAAGAGTAATAACATTATTTGTATTTTAAATAAATTTAATAATGTTGTAAACAAATATGTTATGTCTACTAGAAAACTGGTTTTACTGACCATTTCATGAATTCAAAGAGATATCTAAATTAGTTGTCCATAATTAAACTTTTACACTCACATTAAGCGTTTCCAGATGATGACCAAAGAATGTAAAATATTCAACCGTAGAAATGGAGTACTTTAAATTTTATTACCGAATTGTTCTCCGCGGCGGCACGTCAAATATTTAAAGACTTAACAAGGCCATTAATAGGTAAAATGTTGTACCAATTTGTGTTCAAATTGTTTGTCAAGAAAGTCCATTCCAAAAATTGCTTCCAGATTTAGCGAGAAAGGGGTTCATTGCGGTGTGTTCGACTTTCATGTTACGATCTAAAAGGATGTCGTTTGTTTAGAAACTTCTAGAAGTGGCACTATTGTTCTCATTGATTATTATGTATATGATTCTTTTACATCAATAAGGTAGTACATTCTGCGGATTAGAAATAATTATGAATATCGTTTCAAAAGTGGTAAAGATATCATATAAAATATGAACAATAATAAAAGCGATTAGAATTTTTTAAAGTTACTTCATTGGGTTATCATCTTATTACAATGTTACAAATGAATATATGTATATTTTTTTATATATTATCCTACCTATATATTTCATTGCAAATATATGAATATATATTTAGCAACAAATCAGGATATACTTGCTAATATTATTACAAAATTCAATATCTTTTATGGCGTCGTGCAATGTCACGGAAAAAGCAATGAGGTGTAAGGATCGCGCAGCTGCCAGCATTATGCTCGATAATGACTCTGTTTGTTGCATTCTGAGTACGGCAATGCATTGGTTTTAGCGAAATATATTTATTGACAATGTAATACATTTTGTACATCAGTTGGACATTTAAGTAATGGAGAGTGGACGTTTATGTCCTTTATATATATAAGGGATATTGTATTAATTAATATAAATCATATTCTTTTAACCCATTTAGGTTATGATTTCTCCGATGGTTTGACTGATTAATAATCCAAACATCTTTATAAACTTTCATATTCATTATATTACTGGTTTTTTCCCGTTACTTTGTCTGCGTAACCTGTATATATTTATGTATTGAGATAAAAAGTAATACATGTCCTTTTCCATCCCAAACATTACTTGTTGTACACCAAATTAAATTACTATTGCTTAAACTGTTAAGGCTGTAATAAAAATAACAAATAATTATAACAAAATATAACTATAATAAAAATTAAAAAAATACTGGAAAAAATGCCACTTCTAGTGAGAGTTCATTCTGTGGTCATCCCTCCGGGAATAGCACTGTAAGTTGAGTATATAAATTAGCTGCCAGAGCGCTAATCGCTCCGACAGGCCGCGATGAAACTTCAGAGTCCATCAGTGGCTGTCTAAAAACTCAACGTACACCCAAAATAGATACACAATAACGGCAGTTATTTATTTTGTTATCCCTTTAGCAAATCCCTAGGGACCGTTAATTTGAACGACCATTGCACTCGCAGTTGTTTGTTCAAGGATTTCGTTGTTTCTTCTACGAGAACTAAATCTAGGAGTTTGGATATGCATTCGTTGTTAATTGGCAATTGGTATTTTTAACATTTTAAATCTCATTACTGTTAACTCTCGACACAAAAGATAGAGTTTTAAAGTGGGAAAAAGATTTTTTTTATTTCTCTACGTTTATATCAAATGTACAACGTTACAATTTAGTCTAGTTAAATGTTCGTTTAGTCTTAGCTAATTGGCAAAAATGGTTTAATTTTATCAGAATATTTTTTATGATACTTTAAATGACAAGCAAACTGACAAATATGCGGTTTTTATTATTATTTTTTATTTAGTTAAGTTTAGTGATTATAGATTAAATAATTTATTTTATCTGTCCGATATTATTGTATATAAAAAAGATTATCTCAAGCAATGTTGCATTTAACAATTGGATAACTTATCGCTATTCTGTATTTATTTTCAGGCTTATTTAAATGAATATAACTAATTAATAATGATTGCATATCGATTAAACTCCATTAGATTTACATATTGTTAATCCATTGTTCCAAAAAAGAAAAAATAATTAAGCAAAAATGTTAAAAATCGCTAATATTAAAATCAGTCTAAGCGAAAAGTTGTCAGGAACTTCACGCGAATTACGACATCCCCTGTCCCAGATTCACACGGTCCGCAGAAAAATGGCGTCCGAATACAATAGGGTACAATTACAGACTTCGCCATTCGCCACAGTAATGAGCGTGCCAATGAGATAGCAATAAAATTCCTCACAATACCGCCATAATTAGAATTAACTGTCTCGTTCCGCCCACATTCGATAGCCATCTCTATTTTGATGTTGGCCAGGACAATTTTGCCACCACCTTTGTGAAAGTTCCATTCTCAAGAGTCCCCCGGGACGTAATGATCTTAATGGTGACATATTGTCTTTTCATTGGCCATATTCCTCCTCTCATCGTTTATAAAATCAGTTTATCCCAGTAAGAAGACGACGTTTAAATTTCAAGTAATCTTTTAATGTTTACGAGTTTTATATTATGTTTGCAAGAGATAAATTATGTTTATGTTGTATATTCAATTTTAATGAGATTTAATAAAAAAAAGAACAAAGTTATAATTACTCGATTAGAAGACATAGTTGTAAAGTCTACCGATGTTTTTATACAGTAGTAGATTAGTTGATTAAATGTTTTCATTTATTACTAATATAATTTAGAGTTATTTCTGATTATATCAATAAGACTCATTAACCAAGTTTTGCTGAAAGGTTAAAGGTAATTACCTTTTCATAAACTTCTATTGAAATTCAGAATATTCGAAGTGGCATAAAACTATAAAAATATCATATCGCACAAGCCTAACAATATACATGTGAAAGAAAACAAAAAAATAGTGTTCTTTGTTTTAGGACCAGCTGTTAATAAGATCGAACAGAATTCCTTTATACTAAACTTTCTCAAGGGTCAATAAGTTTTTGTTGGACCAATTAAGGCGATACAGTTTCCGCTAAGGGTGTTTGTTAGAAATTCACGGATCGCCACTCAGACGTCCCTTCATTTGGAGGATTAAGTTGAAATTAAGTGAAGAATGAGCGAACAGTGAGCCCATTGTATAGTGTTTTTAATAACAATGGCCTATTGTTACATCCATAGGACCTAGCTGTTGTATTTTCTCATTGTATATGAAATTTTGAAACATAACATTCAAGTAACATTCTACGAGGAATGTTTATTTTGAACTGTGTTGAGTGAAAGTAGTTAAATAATGCATTAATTATTATTATTGTTTAGGTTTACAAATAACCAGTGTTGTAGCGAGTTATATTTTAATTCTAGAGTAAGGTAATTTCGAAAATAAACGACAAAATACAACTAAATGCTAGTAATTTATAATTTCATAAATATAATTACCTCGATTCGGTAGTCCATTATAATATAATGGTACCTCTAAAGTCAATTTTAATGGCATTTGTTGTGAAATCGGAGCCCTGCACATTAGCGTTTTATTGCGTTGTATTATTTGCATATACTCTGAAATTATGCCTATATGTAAGATCATGTTACACACCTATAAAATGTCATTATCTTTTCGAGATTAAATGATGACTACTGATTTTTTTAATGAGTAGAAAATAAATAATGACTCCGTCTGCACTATTGCTATACATTGGCGGGGTACCAGTAAGAGTTGATAGGTTAGATTGAGGCAAATCAGCCCATCGTGACCATTTCAACAATTCTTAACCACGATGGTTTCTAAAGGAAACCGAGCGAAGGTCGACCTGATAAAGTATTAGCTAGCAATAGCTAGATTACTTAGGATCATATTATTAGTTCTAAATCATTCTAAACTAGTAGATATAAATGAAAATAATTATTTTTATATGTTATAGGTGTTGATGTTATTATACATATATTACAAGTGTTTTATACATATATTATACATGTTAAACCTATTTTATTCTAAATGAATATATTGAATGCTTTTTACGTACATATTTCAATTCAATGGTTCCCGTTAAATAACTAGTAATGTTTTTAAATGTGTAAATTTCGTAAAAATACCTAATTACTCATTTTTTTTTTATTCAAAAACAACTCATCTATTTTATCTAACAAATATTTATCATAATAATTGTTTGAATATCAATATTAAGTGTGTAGAGCACATGTGATTTTAGTTGCTTAGACTAATGCTTCTTACCTGATGATAAAAATTATGTAAGTTTATGTAAAAAAATGGTGCGGTACAATCTATCAAATTGTGATTTATATACGATTAATACAATATATATTTGTGTTTAGACAGATTTCAACCAACGTAAAACATTTTTATAGCACACCTTTGTCGGACGCCTATCGTAATTCGGCTTATGCTAATTAGCTTAATAAATATCGGTTTTTATACAAACCATTATCGGAAACGCTACGCTGAGGTACAGCTATCAATCAATGCTTTTGAAATTCAATCTGTACTTTTAGACCCTTCAATTAAGCATAATTTAAGATAAGCCTTTAATTTTTACGTCTCGGGTGGGCTCAGGAAAGTGTAAGCCAGTCATTAGCCACATTTTACTCCAGTTTTGTACCTTTTGTCTTAAAGCACATCATATTTTTTTTAAGTTTAATACATAATACATGAGATACCGAACCCTTCAATTATGTGTAATAAATCTCCTGTTAGATCAATAACTCGTACGTACCGGTATTGTTTTAATTTTATTACTTACACTGTGTATCGCTAATATAAGATTCTAAAATACCAAAATGATTTCAGTGTGAATTTTAGATAAAAATTTAATACAGTTTCGGAGAAGCGCACCGCTGACCCGAAAACACTCAGCCCTCATTGAATAACGTTATCAACGAAAATAAATGACCAATTAAATAATCTAATTCATTTCAGTCGGGTCTCGGTCCTCGACGGGGTGGAAGCATAAATCAACATGCCGTCGAGTGGCGATAAACATTCTGACTTCTAACCCAGGTGATAAAAAAGTGTCCTCTTTTTTTCTACACCGCACCCGTCGTACCCCTTAAAAGGGTGACATTTTTTAACTAACAGCTCCTTAATTGTTATTATGACCACCCTTACGCGTCACTGTTCACAAAAAATAGCTTAAATAAATGACCCTAAAGAACCGCTTGGCCGCAAAAAACTAGTAGGTAGCCGCTGTAATTGGTTATAATGCGTATTTGATAAAAGGAAATTCCTTCCTAACTTTCGACATCTCGACGTCAAGTCACTTGTATAAATATTTTAATGACACATGCCTAAACATTAAGTGTTAGCTAATGGGGTGAGCAAATATGACGCTTGTAGTTGTATGTATTAGAGTGGTACAATGCAACCTCATGCGGATAAGAGCGTCAATATTTTGATAGCGCGCGTGGTTCGATGCTGGAAACATGTGGTCAACCATTGTGCAACAACGTGGCTGTTTAATCGCTGCGGTGCGATAACGGCGAGCTTAGACAAAACAAATGTAGCCGCTCTTTCGCTGCCACCATACGTCACAGGAACAGGCGGCCAAAAATAGTCGGTCGAGATGAATCAACCGCTAACTCGAGAAATTCCAACACATCAAAGCAACTTCGAGGAACATGCTTTTTTTCTCATACCACATAAAGTTGATTGCATTTTCATGGTTTGATAAATTGTAGTCTTCACTGTCAACAGGACTCTTTCTTTATAATTATTTTTAAACGTCTGGATATGGCAAAGAAGTTGATGGCCCATCTGATTGAAAACTATAACCGTCGCCGACAGATATAAACAGCACCATGGATATTACAGAATATACTGTGACACCCATGGTATCCCTCTTGCGTGGCCTTTCGTTAAGACCATTCCACTAAGCTTTCATGTATAATTATGAAAGTGCCGTTACTTGACAGCAGAAATATGCGTGGAACAGAAGTGTTCATGCAGAAGACTTATGTATAAAGTTTTTCTCTGCTAAATTTTATATTACTCCTGTCACAGACATTTTTAGGTACGTATCGAAATGAGCCCCTAATGTTAGACCGACCACGTGTAACCTATTTGCTATATAAATATCATAAATTAATTTAATAACAATAATTAAAAGAACCAAAACCAAATGATTGATTACTTTTATAAGTACACAAAACGCTGTACATTTTTTATAGTCCAATTTGAATATCGAAGGGAGGTTTAATGATGTGGAAAATTTGACACTTCGCACTCGGCGAGCACAGTCAAATTATTCGGCATTATTGGCGCGGTCATTTACACGCCAGCTGTTCGATCGTTTCTCAAAACTGTTGCTTATTCTTTTTGTAAATGAGTCATGTAAACAGGCTATTAATATGATAATATCAAAAACGTTTTCGCTTTATACTTGCAAGTAAGTTTTTTTTTCACAATTTATAATACTTTAATTTGAAGCTTTGAGGTATGATAGACTTTCTTACTTTTTTATTATTTCAGCCGTTAACTGTCCTCTGCTGAACATAAACCTTCCCCCATAAGAGGAGTTTTGGAAGTAGTTGCCACGTTTGACAAGTAGGTTGGCAACCATAATTAGGCTTTCGCAAATATTTTAAAAGGAATGCTGCCACCCAACCCTCCACCATAAACTCCCTTAGTCGTCTCTGACAGACTTATGCTTAATTAATTATTAAAACTAATTAATTAAAAATTAATTAAACATAATTTTCAGTTTTTAAACTTAAAACACGGTGTTCTAAAATATGTAAACATATAATGTAGTTCTTTGTGGAGTACAGCGACAAAGGTTAATTTCAATTTGCTTTATGTTTGAATTTTTATGATTTATTTTAATAAAGTTTCTTGTAGTCGTCGAAAGCACGTTTTGTATTATGAAATTCAAATATTTTTCGTCTCAGACATAACAAAAATGAGTGAGGCTTTAAGACAATGGGTCTTAAATCTTTTGACCTACTTATGTTTTTAAAATATTTTAAATATAGCCACGCTACATTATTCATTTGTTGTGCGGTACTAGTGCTGCTTTATTAAAAATTATTATTCCCTTCTTTATTCGCTTTATTTAGCTTTCGGTAAAATTAAACAAGGATATTACGATATCAAATATGACAAAATAAAAATAATGCAAAACATGAATATAAATTATATTAATTGTGAAAGTAATTCAGAATTAAAGACACAAATTTGGACTTTTCAAATGAATGGTCATCTTCTGAATAAGAACGATTTATCACTTTGCATCAAATGGGGTAAGATCAAACCAATGGCATCAAATTGAGAACGATTTTTAAAATTTGTTTTTTAAATTACTAGAAATTCATTATTCATTATTTCACACATGTCAATGTTTAAAAACTGAAGTGGTTTACTTAAAAAGGTAAGATATATATCATTATCATTGAGTAACTATTCAAGAAAACTGTTTAATATTAATAAAATAATGCAATAAGCATATTGTAGTTTATTTACAATGATTAACTTCAACAATTTATTGCATCCGTGGCGATAATCTACAGAAAGGTTATCATCGTTATTCCTTTTACGAATCAAAAGACTTATTATCATGGTCTAACAAAGCCATAGATTGTTTCCATTGTAATCGGTGACACAGTATTATTTATATACAGTTTGTATAATATGTATAATAAAGATTACAATATATGATTATTGTTGGCACTTAGTGGAACTTCGTGTTAAAATTATGCAACGACATACTTTTACTTATTAATCTCTTTTAATTAATTATTCTTATTTGGAAGTGAATAAAATTTTATTTGGTATTTCGTAAGTTAAATGAAACATGAAACAAAATTAAAGTTAAATTAAGCCATCTAATTACTAATCTTCATTTAAAATTGATAGAAGTATTTATGAAAATGAAAGAGTAACTTTCTCAATTACAGTATTATTAAGAATTAAGAAGTTCATATTTATTAATGGGTATTATTACCCACTAAACGCCACTAATGGATTAGTAGACTGGATAAGCTGTGCACTGTATCTACTAAATTAATTAGTAGATATATACTTACTTTTTACGATCTATATATACATACCAATGAACACAATTGTTTATACCGTACGGGAATCGAATCGAATATATATATATTTTATATAACTTAGAATGACAAACAAAATTACGGCCCACCTGATGGAAAGTTGTAACCGTCGCCTATAGACATGAGCAGTACCATGGACATAACAGAGTATACTGTTTCGCCCATGATACCCCCCATGCGTTGCCATTCCTGAGGACTCAGGTGTTATTCCTCTGTACCCAGTAAATTCACGCCGTATCCCACCCTTCAAATCGAAACACAGCCACATTCTACATCATACCAGGATGCAAACACAACTGCTTCACGATTGAAACACGAATGGGACAGAGGTACCCAAGCAATCGACTTTTATATATATTAATATAAGTACGGATTATTAGTATGTCAATCTTCACATAAAAACCAACGGGAACTATCCTTTGGCAATATCGTCTCATCCTAATTTGTTTTTTTTTTTTAGTTTTTAAGATATTCATAAAAGATACAAAGCTCGCGCATTAATAATTTTATCATCATATTTTAATCTAACCTTAGGTAATTCAATACAATGTTTCATTTATAAAGACATTTTGAATATAATTTACAATATCTGTAGATGGTAAATTGAGTCGTAAATATTTTTTATCGTCGTTGCATAACGTAGACGGCGGAGGCGCTAACTTTGATCGGACGGTGAGCGTGAACGCTCACAACGTAAAGTTTTGCTCTTTTGAACATTTTGACATCTTTATTTGAAACTTCAAAGTTGGTGCATACATATTCAGTTCTGGCTCCGCTGTGACGCGACAGTTATTTTTATGGAATCGCCATCGATCTGTTATTCTATATAATTTAAGCGACTGAATCAAAGAATTCGTTTTGAATTATCTTTAAACTTTTTAAGCAAATAAATTGTTCAATCTATATAATATATTAAAATGCTTATCTTAACTGATCTATTAGCATATTTATCAGAATTATTATCGGTATAAATAACTGAAGATAATAAACTTGAAATTTGAATATAGATTCTATTTTTGATGCAAATAAATTTCTTTGGGAACAGAAATTAATAGGTACTATGCGAGTGTATGGCAGTCTATTGGGGAGGCTTAATCCAGCATTGGATGAATAATAACTGAAATGATGATGATGATGATGCCAGTGAAGCCACGATAAACAGTTTTTTTTTTATTTATTTGTTTCGCTAATTTTCTTACTTATATTCTTGTTGCATACTTGTGTTTATTTGCCGCTATATAATAATATAATAAAATTCATTTGATTTTTTTTAATTTCATATTAATATTCTTGTTTTTTAGTTGCTATAATGTAATAATAAAATAGGGAGGTGTTATTGTCGAAACCTTTAATAATGTTACCCAGAGTAATACGTCCAGGTGCACATAAAATACTTTTTATTTCATTTTATGCCATAAATACTCACTGCGCGAACAATTTTATTGTGACAATAACTAGTAGGTGTTAGCTTGGATTCCTTTGTGTGTTTGTGTTTTTTTTTATTGATGTAGGTTTTTCTATTAACTATTTGAGATTATCCGTTTGTAATCTGTCAATTTTGACACGTTGAAGTGACATGCCTTGTCGGCGACTTTATTTATATTCTTGTAAGTACTAGTTCTTTCCTTCGGCGTTGCCTACACATGAACTGTTGTACCTTTTTTGTTTTTTAAGAAATTCTTTCTTAGTACTTTATTTAAGAAAGAAGTTTGAAATGAACAGACATTTGATACAAGAAGTTTGATGCAACATATCATATTTCTATATTAAACTTTTCAACTATATGTTGATTGATCAGTTTCTTCATATTAAAAACAAATGTAAGATAAAATAAAGAAGGCTTTTGCCACTCAGCTCCTTGTACTAATATTTAATAGAAGTAGAAATACATAATATCTTTCCTAAGATAAATTTATAAATTTTTATTCAACGTTGTAAAATTAAAACGCTTAC